TTTCCGACCCGAGCAGACGCCTCCGAAACAGGAAGCACACACACACCCCACGTCTGAGTGGTCCGGAGTCTGAGACCGGGGAAGCCATTGGGTCGGCTACCTGTCACTCAGGCCAGTACAGCCCACACGTAGAGCGTCGCCGCCGCCGCTGAGGCTTCGGGGAAGGTGGAAGTCTCCCCGCCCCGCTCTGTGCAAGCCGAGCGTGGCTGGACAATGTGAAACCAGGGAATATGGCCCACAGATGATAAAAGAAAAATGATAACTTAGGTCAGGAAAATTAGATCATAGAGCCTTTTTTTTTTTTCCAAGAAAGGGAGAGATCTGTGTTGAAACGGGGTTCCTTTGAAGACCATGTCTGCACCGAGTCGCAGAAACAGGACGCACACACCAACCCGGCCTGTGATTGGCCCCCGGGTCTGAGACAGGGGGAAGCCATTGGCTGCCCGACGTGTCACCCAGGCGAGTCCAGCCCAGACGCAAAGCGACGCTCTCGCTGAGCCGTTTGGGAGTTGTAGTCTTCCCGCTCCTCCCTGTCCAAGCCTACTGTGGCTGGACGGTGTGAAACCAGGACATATGGCCCACAGATGATAGAAGCAAAATGATAATTTCGGTCAGCAAAATTAGATCAAGGAGCTTTTTTTTTTAAAAGAAAAGAGAGAAGAGAGCTGTGTGGAATCGCGGTTCAACACCACTTCCGCCCCGAGCCGCTGAAACAGGAAGCACACGCCCGCCCAGCGTCTGATTGGTCCCCGCGTCTGAGACGGGGGGAGCCATTGGCTGTGAACTCGTCATTCTGCGCCCAGAACCCCACCCCCTGAGGCTCCACTGCCTGCTCTCGACTGCACGGGGAACCTGTCAGTCTGCCGCCAGGACCCCACCCCCTTAGCTCCCCTGCCTGCCCCTGATGGGACGGGGAACCTCTCGGTCTGCAGCCAGAAACCCACTGCCTTAGGATCCACTGAATGCCCCTGACTGGATGAGGAACCTGTTAGCTAGCATCTAGAACCCCCACTCGCCAGCTCCCCACATGCCCCTGACGGTACTTGGAACTGTCAGGCTGCGGCAGGAAACCAGGGTCCTTAGTTCCCCTGCCTGTCCATACTGGGCCGTCCATACTGTCAGTCTGCAGCCAGAACCCCCACCCTCTTAGGCTCCACTGAGTGCCCCTGACAGGACCGGACACCTGTCAGTCAGCACATAGAACCCCACCTTGTTAGTTCCCCAGCATGCCCCTGAGAGGACTGTGATCTCGTCAGTCTGTGGCCAGAACCCCACATCCTCAGCTCCCCTGCCTGCCCCTGATGGGACCAGGAAACCTCAGTCTGTTCAGAACTCCACCCCCTTAGCTCCCCTGCCTATCCATTCACGACCAGGAACCGGTCAGTCTGCCACCATAACCCCACCCCCTTAAGCTCCACTGAGTACCCCTGACTGGACAGGGAACCTGTCAGTCTGCAGCCAGAACCCCACACCCTTCGCTCCCTCGCGGGTCCACTGACTGAACCAGAAATCTGTCAGTTTGCTATCAAAACCCAGCCCCTTAGCTCTCCTGACGCCCCTAACGGCACCCGGAACCTGCCAGTCTCCCGCCAGAACCCCACCTCCTGGGCTCCCCTGCCCGCCCCTGACTGGCACAGGAACCTGTCAGTCTGCCACCAGAACTGCACCTGCTTAGCTCCCCTGCCTGCCCCCGATGAGAATGGGAACCTGTTGGTCTGCGGCCAGAAACCCACCTCTTGGTTCCCTGCCTGCCCCTGACTGGACAGGGGAACTGTCGGTCTGCAGCCCAAACCCCACACCATGAGCTCCCTCGCCTGCCCATGACAGGACCAGGAACCTGTCAGACTGTGACCAGAACCACACCTCCTTAGGCTCCCCTGCCTGTCCCCTGACTGGACCAGGAACCTGTCAGTCTGCAGCCAAAGCCCCACCCAGCTTGGCTCCACTGAGTGCTCTTGACAGGACCGGGAACCTGTCAGTCTGTGGCCAGAACCCCACGTCCTTAGCTGCCCGCCCGCCTTTGATAGACCTGGAACCTGTAGTCTGCAGAAAGAACCTCACCACCGTGCCTCCCTGTCCTACTCCACACGCACATGGAACCTGTAAGTCTGCCGCCAGAACCCCACATCCTTAGCTCCTTTGGCTGCCCCTGATGGGACCAGGAGCCTGTCAGTCTGCATGCAGACTTCATGTCCTTAGCTCCCCTTATTGCCCCTGACTGGACCAGGAACCTGTCAGTGTGCAGCCAAACCCCACATCCTTAGCTCCACTGCCTACCCCTGTTGGAAATGGAACCCGTGAGTCTGTGGCCAGAACCCCACCCACTTTGGCTCCCCTGCCTGCCCTTGACGGGACTGGGAACCTGTCAGTTGCGGCCAGAACCCCATGTCCTTAGCTGCCCTTCCTGCCCCTGACTGGACCGGGAACCTGTCAGTGTGCAGCCAGAACCCCACATCCTTAGCTCCACTGCCTGCCTCTGTTGGACCCAGTACCTGTAAGTCTGCGGCTAGAAGCCCAGCTCCTGGGCTCATTTCCCGCCCCAGATGGACCCGGAATGTGTCAGTCTGCCACTAGAACCCTAACTTCTTTGCTCCCCTGACTTGCCCCTAACTGGAGCAGGAACCTGTCAGTCTGCAGCCAGAACCCCACCCTCTAGTCTCTGCTGAGTGCTCCTGACAGGACCGGGCACCAGTCAGTCTGCGGCCAAAACTCCACCCCCTTAGCTCCCTTGCCTGACCATACTGGACCAGGAATCTGTCAGTCTGTGGCCAGAACCACACGTAGCTAACTCCCCTTCCTGGCGTCACTGGACCGAAACGTGTCACTCTGAGGCCAGAACCACCCTCCTTGGCTCCCCTGACTGCCACTGATGGGACCGGGAACCCATCAGTCTGCAGCCAGAACCCCAACCTTGAGGCTCCAGTGAGTCCCCCTGATGGGACTGGGATCCTTTCAGTCTGCGGACAGAACTCCACCCCTTAGCTCCCAGGCCTGCCCCTGACTAGACCAGGAACCTGTCAGTCTGTGGCCAGAACCCCACCTCCTTGGCTCCTCTGACTGTCCCTGACTGGACTGGGAACCTGTCAGTCTGTGGCCAGAACCCCACCTCCTTGGCTCCTCTGACTGTCCCTGACTGGACCAGGAACCTGGCAGTCTGTGGCCAGAACTCCACTCCTTAGCTCCCCTGCCTGCCCCTGACTGGACCTGGAATCTGTCAGTCAGTCTGCGGAAGGAACCCCATGTCCTTAGCTCCCTGCCTACTCCTGATGGGACCAGAGACCTGTCGTCATTCTGTGGCCAGAACCCCACCTCCGTAGGCTACGCTGCCCGCCCCTGACTGGACCAGGAACTTGTGAGTCTGCAGCCAGAACCCCACCCCATCAGCACCCCTCCCTACCCTTGATGGACCTGCAACTGTCACCAGTGGCCAGAACCCCGCTTCCTTAGGCTCCCCGGCCTACCTGTGATGGGACTCGGAACCTGTCAGTCTCGACCAGAGCCTAACCTGCGTGGCTCCCCTGACTTTCCCTGAGGGGGCCAGGAACCTGTCACTCTGTAGCCAGAACCCCACCTCATTGGGCTGCCCTGACAGCAACGGGAACCTGTCAGCCTGTGGCCAGATCCCCATGTCCTCAGCTCCCCTGCCTGCCCCTGATAGACCTGAACCTGTCAGTCTGTGGCCAGAACCAACCTCCTTGGCTCCCCTGACTGCCCGCGATGGGACCAGGAACCTGTCATGCTGCTGCCAGAACCTTAGCCAGAACGCCTTAGCTTCCCTGCCTGGCCATATGGACCGGGAACCTGTCCATGTGCGGCCAGAACCCCACATGCTTAGCTCCCCGGCTTGTCCCTGACTAGACAGGGAACTTGTATGTCTGTGGCAGGAACACCATCCTCTTACACTACCCTGCCTGCCCCTGACTGGAACCAGAGCCTGTCATTCTGCGGCCAGAACCCCACCTCCTTGGCTCCCCTGACTGCCTCTTTCTGGCCTGAGAACCGGACAGTCTCGGACTACAACCCCACCTCTTGGATCCCCTGCCGGCCCTTGATGGAACTGGGAACCTGTCAGTCTGGGGCCAGAACCCCACCTCCTTGTCTCCCCTGCCTGCCGCTGATGGGACTGGTAGCTTGCCAGTCTAGGGCCAGAAACGCCGTCTTTGGCTCCCCTGCCTGCCCCTGACAGGACCGGGAACCTGTCAGTCTGCGGCAGGAACCCCAAGTCCTTAGCTCTCCTGCCTGCCCCTGACTGACCCAGAACCTGTCACTCTGCGACAGTTCCTGATCCAGTCAGGGGCACTCAGTGGATCCTAAGGGAGTGGTTTCTCCGCCATATCTGAATGTGAAAGTCCAGCTGGGTGCAGAAACTAGGGAAGAACAGACAGTGCACACATCTGGTCAGATGGCAAGTGTGTGACATTCAAGATGGTTTACAAAGTGGCCCACAACAGGTGATCTCTCCCTACCTCTTCATGTAGCGTGCCTTCAGACACTAACCCCTGGCTCACAACTTGAAGTCTATAAAGGACGGAGACCCTCAGCTATCACTGAGTGGCTCAGAGGACACTGCATGGCTTGTGCTCAATCACTTGTGTCCCTGTTCAAAGCACAGTTTATGAAAATAATCATACAAGCCGGCGCCGCGGCTCACCAGGCTAATCCTCCACCTGCGACGCCAGCACACCGGGTTTTAGTCCCGGTCAGGGCACCGGATTCTGTCCCGGTTGCCCCTCTTCCAGGCCAGCTCTCTGCTGTGGCCCGGGAGTGCAGTGGAGGATGGCCCAAGTGCCTGGGCCCTGCACCCCATGGGAGACCAGGAGAAGTACCTGGCCCCTGCCATTGCATCAGCGCGGTGCGCCGGCCGCGGCGGCCATTGGAGGGTGAACCAACGGCAAAGGAAGACCTTTCTCTCTGTCTCTCTGTCTCTCACTGTCCACTCCTGCCTGTCAAAAAAAAAAAAAAAAGAGGCTATCAGCAAAAACCAAGACTCGTTCAAGGTGGTGAAGACCGCGCGTACGTTTCGGGAGTCTTATTTCAAGTTTTAATTCTTCTGCCAACACACTCATGGTAATCCCAGGCTAGTTGCTCTCGTTTCTGAATCGACGTGTCACCCACTGCGCCTCCCTCGTCTGGGCACTTCATCACTCACTCACTGAAGTTGCTGTTCAGAGTGTCCGCTGTGTCCTGTTCTCTCCTGCTCTAAAGTCACTGAGGAGACAGTACTGACGACGAAGCTGCAAACCCTTTCAAGAAGCAAACGTGTCTATACACGACCATGTTTTCAAGGCATTTCCGATGGATCTGACTGCCTGTCAAAAAAAAATAAAAAAAAATAACTGAGATATTGGGGGTCTTGGTATTAGAAGATGAGCAAACTTTGTAGTTATGAATCTGCCTTGTCCAACGTGCTCTACACGCCACGTTGATGACCCTCCTCTCCCTGAGAGAAGAGCCAGCCTGAGCCATGGAGTGAGTGGAGCAGAAAACCAGGTTAAAGGATTACACAACGCAGAACCGGTCAAGTCGGTTTTTCCCATCGAGAGACAGAAACTAGAGTGACCTCCCTGGAGCTCTCAAGGTCACGTCTGGGTGCCTGGGCACGAAAAAAGCTAAAAAAATCCAGGTTCTGGAACATTCTAGGACATTCTAGAATGTTCCGGGATCCCTAGAATTTTTCCGAGGTGTTCTAGAATGTACCAGAACATCACCAAGTGAGTCTGGGGGGATTCTGGGATACGGGTCTGAGTAGAAGTTTCCCGGCTGGGTGTGACGGGTGTCCTGGTGCCGGCCTGGCCCTGCGGACATTGACGTGACATCCCGCGCCCACCGGGGCTGCGGAAACTTCCAGCACGTCGGCAGAGGGTCTCAGACCCCCCAGGACGCTCGCTGGGTTCTCTGGAACATACTGGAACATTCTACAACATTTCAAGACCCCAAAGACACTCACCAAGCGGTCCAGGGCATCCTACGAACATTCTAGAAAATTCTACGTCATCCGCCAGTATTCCGGAACACTCCAAGACCAGGCGCTCTAGAATACTCTAAGGCCCCGAGGACGTGCGCCGGGCTCTCTGGACGTGTTCTGGAACATTCTGGAACATTCCACAGAATTCCTCGCGATTCCAAGGACATTCCCTGGGCATTCTAGAACATTCTGGAATCCTGGAAACACCCACCAGGGGTTCTGGAAAATTCCAAGGCCCAAGAACGCACGACAGACTCTCCCAGAATTCCCTGGGAGCACTGACCGTTCCGGAACGTCCCTGGTGTCCACCAGGATGTTTGCACAACCTTCGGCCCGCCAACTCCTCCCCCAGCCCTGGCAATAAATAGACGCCGGGTCCCCGCCGGCTCAGACGACTACGAAGACGATGGTGATGAAGATGACGGTGACGAAGGCTCTCCTCCTCGCCCTCACGGTGGGCGTGGCCTGTGCGGACATCGACCCTGCCCAGGTATCATAAATTTGCATCATTAGTTCCCAGTATTAATTCTCGTCATGAATTCATATCATTTCTTCACATCATTACTTCGCATCACTAATTCGCATCACTACTTTGCGTTGTTTCTTCAGCCGTATCATTAATGCGCGTCATTTCTTCACCTCCCTGAAAGGAGCGGCCGAGAGCCGCCATAAAATGGCCTTAATAAAACAGTCCTGGGAAATGGGGAGTAAACTAAGTTCACAGAGAAAGCAGATAGCTACTAGCCAGAGATAAGGGCTACTAGCCAGAGATAAGGGCGACAGAACATCCTGGTATGCACATAAGCCCCCTCCCCTGTGCTTGTTCAAGCTTAACAAAGAAACCGCGAGACACGTAGGGCACGTAGCCACCCCTTTCTGCTCTTCAAGGACCCCCTCCCCTTGTCCAAGCTTAGACACGTAGGGCACGTAGCCCCGGTTTCTGTTCTCTCCTCCTCCTCGACGACCTCCTCCCCTTGTAGTTACCCAATAAACTTACGCCACCCTATGGTATGTTAATTTTGTGGTTTGCCCCTTAAAAGCTGTGTGAGATAGCTGCTCGGGGCTCCTCTCGCTTGCTTGCTGCTTGCAGCAGTAGGGGGCCCATTTGCGCAAATGAAATAAAAATTACCTCCTGCTCTATTGCATCGTCTGGTCTGGAGTCTGTGTTTCTGGGGTCGTCACAAGAGGACACCGCTTTTGGGGTCCTACACTCCCCAGCTCTCCGGGCCCTGGCGCACCTCCGCCATGGCCTCCGACAACCTGGAAATGATCCTGGAGGATGGGCCACTCCGGATGCTGTTCCGCGAGATGGAGTGCAACGAGGACTGCAACGCCCTGAACGTCTTCTTCTATGTCAAGTGAGGGGCGGGGCCAGGGGAGACAAGCCGAGGCCAGAGACAGAGAGCCAGGGGGGAGCAATCGAGCCCAGAGAGCGGGGAAGACAGGCGCCGCCAAGCCAAATCGATCCCAGAGAGAGACAGAGCAGGCCAGGGCGACCAGCCGAGCCCAGAGAGAGAGATAGCAGACAGGAGTAGTTGAGCCCAGAGTCAGAGAGCATGTGGGCTAGAGGGAGTAATGGAGCTGAGAGTGAGCAGACAGGAGTAGTTGAGCCCAGAGTCAGAGAGCATGTGGGCTAGAGGGGAGTATGGAGCTGAGAGTGAGCAGACAGGAGTAGTTGAGCCCAGAGTCAAAGAGCAAGCCAGGGGGGAGCAGCCGAGCCCAGGGAGAGTGAGCAGACAGGAGTAGTTGAGCCCAGAGTCAGAGAGCATGTGGGCTAGAGGGGAGTAATGGAGCTGTGAGCAGACAGGACCAGCCGATCCCAGAGTCAAAGAGCAGGCCATGGTGGACCAGCCGAGCCCAGAGAAAGAGTAGACAGGAGCAGTTGAGCCCAGAGTCAGAGAGCAGGTGGGCTAGAGGGGAGTAATGGAGCTAAGAGTGAGCAGACAGGACCAGCCCATCCCAGAGTCAAAGAGCAGGCCATGGTGGACCAGGCGAGCCCAGAGGGAGAGCAGACAGTAGCAGTTGAGCCCACAGCGAGCGGCCATGTTCCCGGTCTCTCCTTCAGGAAGAACGAGGTATGCACCCCGCACACGGTTGTGGCCCAGAAGAACGCAGACGGCATCTACACCACTGACTGTGAGTACAGAGCATTTCGGAAAGTTCCAGACAATTCCAGACGACCCCAGGGAATGTCCGGTGTGTTCCAGAATGTTCGAGAATGTTCCCAGAAATGTTCCAGGATGCTGCAAATGTCCCAGAATGCTCCAGTTCCTCAATGTTCTAGAATGTTCCAGAATGCGCTAGAATGTCCCAGCATGCCCCGGCACATCCAGAACACCCACCTCTCTCCCTACAGTCGAGGGCCAGACCTCCTTCCAGTTCCAGGAATTGGATCCCACTAGGCTCATCGTCTTCATCAATAACATGGGGTCCAGCGGCACCACCAGCCGCCTCAGCTTCCTTGTGGGTGAGCCCCCCTCACACACACATGTACACTGCCGGTGCCCGCTAGGGATACGCACCATGACCCGAGAGTCTGAGCCCGACTGTATATAGGGAAAGGGGGGATACAGTCGGTGCCCACTGGATAAAGCGAGTGTATACAGTCAGTGCCCACTAGACATGGTGGGCATATACAGTCGGTGCCCACTAACGCTAGCATATACAGTTGGCGCTCGCTAGATGGGGTGAGCGTATACAGCCACTAAAGTGAGTGTATGCAGTAGGCTCACACTAAAGCAAGCGTACTCAGTCGGCACCCACTCTTGCCACAGTCAAATTGAGAGTCATAAATGACGACCGGCTGGAGGACTACGCGAGGCTCACGGAGCAGAATGGGATCCCGCGGAAGTACATCCGGCGTGTGGGCGACACAGGTGAGGCCTTGGCGGCTTCCGGGCTGACTCGGCGCTGACTCGGCGCTGACTCGGCTTTCCTCTCTCTCCAACAGACACCTGTCCACCCTGAGGACGCCTCCCTTGGAGAAGGTGCCAGAACGTTCTAGACCATTCCAGAACCGCCCCTCCTGCACAATGATTCCTCCCCTGATCGCCTCACCATCTCCTCCCACCTGCGAACGCGCTAGTATGCTCCGGAACATTCTAGAGCATTCTGGATTGATCCAAGATGGTCTGGATTGTTCCAGAATTTCTAGAAAGCTTCGGAACATTCTAGAATCGGCCGTCCCCAGCTTTCTCTGCTTCCTGTTCATGGAATAAACTCATCCCAGGCACAGTCCCAGTCGTTTATTTTAAACGATTTTTATTGTTCCGTCAAAAGACAGAGCGAGCTGGTGGAGGAACCCAGGGGCTACCTCCGGGTCTCCCTGCACTGTCAGTCACCGTTCACTGACAAGGGGGTGGGCTCTGTCATCTGGTGGCTGTCAATCAGCCCTGAGTGACACTGGGGGGGTTCTCCCCGACTCCACTGGCAGCCAGTCACACTCCACCAGGATCCCAGGGCCACATCCGGGTTCCCATGGCCACATCCGGGTCTCCAGGGCAATATCCGGCTCCCCAGGGCTCCACTCATGTCCGCAGTGACACATCCAGGTCCCCAGGGGCACATCCTGGTCCCCAGGGCCACATCCGGGTCTAAGTGCTCCATCCGGGTCTCTGGGCTCCATCTGGGTCCCTAAGGGCTCCATCCGGGTCTCTGGGCTCCATCCGGGACTCCTGGCTCCATCCGAGTCTCTGGGCTCCATACAGGTCTCTGGGCTCCATCGGGGTCTCTGGTCTCCATCTCTATCTCTGGGCTCCATCTGGGTCCCTAAGGAAACATCCTGGTCCCTAAGGCTCCATCCGGGTCTCTGTGCGCCTTCAGGGTCACTAAGGCTACATCCGGGTCCTTAAGGTTTCTTCCGAGTCCTTAAGGCTCCATCCAGGTCTCTGGGCTCCATCCAGGTCTCTGGACCACATCCGGGTCTCTGGGCTCCATCCGGGTTTCGGGGCTCCAACCGTGTCCCTAAGGCTGCATCCAGTCTCTGTGCTCCATCCGAGTCTCTGGGCTCCACCCCGATCTCCAGGGCCACATCCAGGTCCCCAGGGCCACATCCGGGTCTCCAGGGCCACATCCGGTTCCCCAGGGCTCCATCCGGGTCTCCAGGGCCACACCAGGGTCTCCAGGGCCACACCAGGGTCTCCAGGGCCACATCCGGATCTCCAGGGCTCCCTCCAGGGCCATATCTAGGGTCCCAGGGCTCCACCCAGGGTCTCTGGGCTCTCCAGGTCCTGACTACACCGGGTCCCTAAGGCCATCCGGTCTCTGGGCTCCATCCTGGTCTCGGGGCTCTGCCCGAGTCTCTGGGCTCCATTCGGGTCCCTAAGGCTCCATCCGCATCCCTAAGGCTCCATGCGGGTCTTTGGAGCTCCATCCAGGTCCCTAAGGATCCAACCGGGACTCCTGGCTCCATCTGAGTCTCTGGGCTCCATACGGGTCTCTGGGCTCCATCCTGGTCTCGGGGCTCTGCCCGAGTCTCTGGGCTCCATCTGGGTCCCTAAGGCTCCATCCGCATCCCTAAGGCTCCATGCGGGTCTCTGGGCTCCATCCAGGTCCTTAAGGCTCCATCTGAGTCTCTGGGCTCCATTAGAGTCTCTGGGCTCCATCCGGGTCTTTGGGCTCCATCCAGGTCCCTAAGGATCGATCCGGGACTCCTGGCTCCATCCAAGTCTCTGGGCTCCATACAGGTCTCTGGGCTCCATCCAGGTCTCTGGGCTCCATCCATATCTCTGGGCTCCATCTGGGTCCCTAAGGATCCATCCGGGACTCCTGGCTCCATCCGAGTCTCTGGGCTCCATCCAATTCCCTAAGACTCCATCCAAGTCCCTAAGGATCCATCTGGGTCTCTGGGCTCCATCCAGGTCTCTGGGCTCCATCCAAGTCTCTGGGCTCCATCCGGGTTCCTAAGGCTCCATCCGGGTCCCTAAGGCTCCATCCAGTTCCCTAAGGCTCTTCCGAGACTCTGGGCTCCATCTGGGTCCATAAGGCTCCATCCGGGTCCATAAGGCTCCATCCGGGTCTTTGGGCTCAATGCGAGTCTCTGGGCTCCATCCGGGTCTCTGGGCTCCATCCATATCTCTGAGCTCCATCTGGGTCCCTAGGGCTCCATCCTGGTCTCTGGGCTCCATCCGGGTCTCTGGGCTCCATCCGGGTCCCCAAGGCTCCATCCGGATCTCTGGGCTCCATCTGGGTCTCTGGGCTCCACCTGGGTCTCTGGGCTCCATCTGGGTTCCTATGGCTCCATCCGGATCTCTGGGCTCCATCCGGGTCCCTAAGACTCCATCGGGGTCCCTAAGGCTCCATCCGGGTCTCTGGGCTCCATCCGAGTCCTTAAGGCTCTATCCGGTCTCTTGGCTCAATCCGAGTCTCTGGGCTCCATCCGGGTCTCTGAGCTCCATCCGGGTCTGCAGGGCCACATCGGGTCTCCCAGGGCTCCACATACGGGACCCAGGGCCACATCCGGTTCCCCAAGGGACATATCGGGGTCCCCAGGGCCACATCCAGGTGTCTCGGGCCATTACCGGTTCTCCAGGGCCACATCCGGGTCTAGGGCCACATCCAGGTCTCCAGGGCTCCATCCAGGTCTCCAGGAACATCTGGGTCTCCAGGGCCACATCAGCATGATCAGGGCCACATCCGGGTCTCTAGGGCTCTCTCCAGGGCCACATCCAGGTCTCCATCACTACATCCGGCTCTCTATGGCGCCATCCAGGTCTCCAGGGTCACATCCGGATCTCCAGGGCCACATACGGGCTCCCAGGGCCACATCCGGGTCCTTAGAGTCACATGGGGGTCTCCAGGGCCACACCCGGGTCTCTAGGGCCACATCTGGGTCTCCCAGGGCTCCATCCGGGTCCCCCAGGTCCACATCCGGGTTGCCAAGGCCACATCGGGGTCTCCCAGGGCTCCATCCAGGTCCACATCAGGTCCCCAGGGCCACATCCAGTTCTCCCAGGGCCACATTCGGGTCCCCACGTCCACACCCGGGTCCCAGGGCCACATCCAGGTCCCTAGGGCCATATCCGGGTCTCCAGGGCTCCATCCAGGTCTCTAAGGCTTTATCCAAGTCTCTGGGTTCCATCAGAGTCTCTGGGCTCCATCCGTATCTCTGAGCTCCATCCAGGTTCCTAAGACTCCATCCGGGTCTCTGGGCTCCATCCGAGCCCCTAATGCTCTATCTCAATCTCTGGGCTCCATCCAAGTCTCTGGGTTCCATCCGGATTCCTAAGGCTCCATCAGGTCTCTGAGCTCCATCTGGGTCCCTAAGGCTCCATCCGG